TATTGAAATAAAATTAGACGTTGGTCCCAAAATGATCGAGTTTGTGTCAAGTGGACGTAACACCCTATGTCTGCCTCTCTCTACTCCATAAAAGGCAAATGCTCTCGACAAGAATTTAATGGGTTATAATCTTGGTTCCCACTTGTCAAGGCCGAGTCATTCATATGGGCAAAATAAAAATCAAGGTTATATCATGGTAGAGATAGTCTTTTGGTATGTTTATTAAAGTTAGGAGGGTATAGATAATATCTTTTACCACTTCAAGGGAGATAACACAACAATTACTAAAAAAAATTAATTAGGTTTACATTTAAAACCTAGTAAAGAAGACTTTTTTTTCACTTATAATTTATTTCCTTTGATGAAAGTTTTTCTTTTATATATAGATGCAATCAATTCAAAACCTGTACAATTATTGTATAACGTCTGCAGTCTAACCATCTAAATAATCAATTCCTGCTACTAATTGGGTTCAAGTTGAACTTTTTGACATTCATTGAACACTAACTAGAAACGGAGTGGCGCCAACACTTCAGTCATTGTAAGATTAATATATATTTTGTTCTGTGGCCAAGTTTTCAATGCTAGGGAAGCGAATTTTGTCTACCCTTTGAATTTCTGTTGTCAAGGGTACCTTTGGCATGCACCCCACAGGTCAGCCCATCCTAATGACAGGTTTCCTCTCTGCTTGTCAGCCCTGCAGCAGGTGCTACACCCGACAAGTGGAAATTGGGATTCTTCTATGCCCACACTGATATTCTTCTCTGGCCACATTGAGATTCTTCTCTGCCCACACCCAGATTCTCCTCTGCACACACCCAGATTCTTCTCTGCCCACACCCAGATTCTTCTCTGCCCACACCCAGATTCTTCTCTACATACACCCAAATTCTTCTCTACACACACCCAGATTCTTCACTGCCCACATTGAGATTCTTCTCTGCACCAAAATTCTTCTTGTACCACACTGAGATTCTTTTCTTTCCACACCCAGATTCTTCTCTGCCAACACCAAGATTCTTCTCTGCCCACACCCAGATATAGCTCCTTCCTCATCACTAATCATATAGACCCTTCCCATTCAACAATCATATGGACCCCCCCATCACTAATTATATAAACCCCTACTCATCACTAATCATACAGACCGTCCCCCATCACTAATCATATAGACCCTTCCCACTGAATGAACCCCTCTCCCCATCACTAATCATACAGACCCCCGCCCCCTCATCACTAATCATATAGACCCTTCCCATTGAATGACCCCCTCCCCCCATCACTAATTATATACACCGTCCCTCATATCACTAATCATATAATAGACCCTCATATAACCCCAATCACTAATTATATAGTTTGTTCAATCACTAACTATATAGACACTACCCCATCACTAGATCCTTTCACATGTTGAAGAAATTACAGGCAAGACTACTGTCATCTTTCACAACTTTATTTCAGGAAAAAAAATCTACATCCATATCTGACACAAAGAAGACATATTGAAATCATGAGGGGATCCTTCTAAAGGAATTTCTTTCAAATTTCATTTACACTTTGACAAAGGCAAGATTTTTGTCTCTCTCTACAAAACTAAATTAAATTGCACCTGAATAATTTGAAACATTATCTACGAACTGGATTCAGTGATCTTTCAAAACTGTCGACGGTAAAATATATTTGACGCTTTCAGAAAGACTAATTCATTTACGTAGTGCTTCTTATCTGAAAGGCAATTGTCGATTTTCTCGAGTTTTCACAACAAAAAAAAATTAAACCATCCCAGAATCTCCAATAATTGAAAGAATACGACTGCAACCAATCCAGATGTCGACTTTGAGCAGACGCGATAGAAACAATTTCATACATGAACATCTATTTTCCTGAAGGCTGATAATCAAAGCATTTCAAACAATCATTGTTCGTGGCATTAACTTAATCTAAATCAACCGCTAAATGTACACACTTGTCTCTTGACGTAACAATCAAATTAAATTAAACTTCGCCAATTTGATTATTCTGTTTCCACAGACATGAACCAGAAATTAAAATGTTTACGGGCAGGTTTAAAACGGACAATTATTGAGCTTGGAAAATTACAGACTATTATAGACTGACAACAATACTGTACTGGTAAATAGTTAATTCAATTCAAAAAGACTTGATCATCTTGTCTACAATATTGTTACTGATTGATAAAACTGATCATCTTGCCTACAGTATTGTTTCTGATTGACAACACTTGATCATCATGTCTACAGTATTGTTACTGGTTTGATAAAACTGACCATATTGTCTACAGTATTGTTACTGGTTTGATAAGACTTGGTCGTCTTGGCTACAGTATTGTTACTGATTGATAAGACTTGATCATATTGTCTACAGTATTGTTACTGGTTCGATAAGACTTGATCATCTTGTCTACACTGTTGTTGGCTACCGGTAACTACTGATTTGATATTAAGTTGACTTCAGATTTGCAGTGACCCCGTTGTGTTAAACAGTGATCACTTTCAATAAAAAAAATGAAGAATTAATTTGATAGAAAATGATATTCAAAATAAGCATGGACACACTTAAAACCGCTGATCATTATTTGAATTCCTTTCCATCAGAAATGGCATATGTCCGTCTTCATTAGTGCAGTTGGTGTAGAAAAGCAGGACTTTAATCCCTAAATTCATTTCATTTTCAATGCAGTGGTCAAAACCTCTCAACTCTACTAAAATAAACATGTTTCAATCAAGTTCTTTTCTTTTAATGAAAACCCCCCAAAATCCGCATTTTTTATATTGAAAAAAACAACCCAAAATCCACTTTTTAAAATTAAAAACATCCTAAAATCCTCTCTTTTTAAAATGAAAAATGCCCAAAAGATCAATAAATGAAACAGCAATAGAACGTGGTCACAAAGCCACTTTTTAAAATGAAAAACACACTAAAATCCTCTCTTTTTTTAAAATGAAAAATGCCCAAAAGATCAATGAATGAAACAGTAATAGAACCTGGTCACAAAGCCCTAAGGATAAAACTAATGTCCATTTTATGTTAAAAGTTTGTTTTGTCTGAAGTGGCGATGTGATTTCCGTGGTCTCATCAGACTTAATACAATTCATCTGGATTATTGTCGAGTAAATTACATTAAATAAGAGAACAGATTCATTAAATCAATGGTGGCTGGCGTCGTGGTGACACACGACTCGACTAAACGTAATTATTAGACGATTCCACAAAGCCATAATCACCATACTTTCAAATTATCGTTGTTTTGCTGAGCGTTATGAGCCGGTATTTACAACTCCCTGTGTTTACGGACAATAAAATGTGGTTTTAATGGGTGAGGGTGGGAATTTAGAAGACATATATCTGTTGTTTAATAAATAATTCTATATAATAACACAGCTCTGTTTATTGTCTGTATTACAAATAATTGAATAGGGTTTAACATCCTGTCAACACCATATTTCTGCAATTTTGAGAGAGAGAGAGAGAGAGAGAGAGACTAGGCCATTTTGGGACTAACACATGGTTCAATTTTATTTCAATACATAGCTTGTGCGTAGGTGTCATTAGCAGTGGAAGGAAACTGGAGGTCCTTGATAAAAAAAACCATGAGGTTGGACAGGCGACCTTACTCCTTGTCATGTACAACCTGAGAATCAAAACCACGCCACTTGACTCAATGACAGACCTTATGATCGAAACACAGACGGTAACCATTCGGTCAACCAGCCCCGCTGCCATTTTGATCAATGCTAACGAGGTGAATTTTGAGACTAACATGATCAATGCTAACGAGGTGAATTTTGCCTGGACAGTGGCGTTTCCACCTAATCTTCATCGAATTTCAACTTTTATGGGTTCTTTTACATGCAAGCAAACTGATACATGGGACTTGGTTTTTCATTCCATCAGTAGGATACTGTTCCCCTTCAGACCCTCTGTCATGTACCAGTGACAAGGGGGAAACCAAGCTGGTCTAACAAGGGACCTTCTGGTTTTCTCATGGAGCCACAACAACTCCCTTAAAATTCAATCTGATTAAAACACAGATCCAATTTCATTTCAATTTTTATAGTTCAATATTTCGTTTTTACTTGTCTTTACTACATTTGGATCTGGAAGACTTGTTATTTAACTCGTGTTCTGCTTGAAATGAGGGGTCAGCCAATCAAATGGTCTGTCGAATCGAGCGTTTGACCTTTTTTGCGCGGAACTGTGGGTAGACATTACCAGCGATAGAAATCAAAACAAAGCAAAAGTAGATTTAAAAAAGCATGGCGGTTGCTAATTGGTTAATCGAATGACTGACGTTATCGGGTCAAATGTCGCTTGCTTGGTATCTGACGTCATAGAACGAACTTGTTATATCTACATGTGGTGTAGGCCATTGAAAGTATAAAAAACGAAACGAAATATAGATCTATATTTTAATTAGATTGCTTAAAATTTAAAATCACTTTAATATATCTCCTTGTTTAGAAAAGAACAACATGCCACAATATGAGATAAGTATTGCAAATCAAGAGAACCTAATGTAACATTCAAATGACCAAAATATAGGTTTTATACCACGTAAGTTCAACTCTACGGTACTAGAGATCATATGGCATCCTATTAATAAGGTATTATATATATAGAGTTTAATATCCACTCAACTCAAATTAGATCATTTTGGGACCAACAAATGGCACTATTTTACCTCAATAAGTGGGAGGAAAATGGAGGACATGTGATCCTACTCCTTGGGATCGAAACCATGTCACTTGACTTAATGACAGACCTTATGAACTAAACCACATGCATTATAGACCAATAAGGTGATTAAATCAACACTTTCATTTATAACCCAAATCAAACAGCCAGTGCAGAAACACCTGCAAACAATAGAGGTCAGGTCATTTTTAGTATGGGCTCAATAAGTGGGTCAAGGAACAGTTTCACAAACCAAGGTCAAACAATTTAAACATCTTTTAAAGCTTAGAATTGGAACTTACCATGTTCTTTATATATCTTTTTTCTTCTTTTCATTAACAATGGAATTTTTTAAAGTTTTCCTCAAATAAAACACAAACTAATAAAAATGCAAATCTAGGGCATTAAACTCAGAACACAATTTTGGACAAGATCCAAAACATGCCAAAATTTCTTATCTTGTTGTTCAAATATGCATAAGTCTAGTTTTTATCTTCCGACACTGCAGAAAAAGGTCTAAATACCTTAAATTTAAACTGCTTCTGTCAACTTCCACATTTTTTTGATCCTTCTTCAAAACAATTCTAATATCCAACCTCTAATTACTGAATTCATCTTTCAGCAAGTTTACAGTACTTGTGTTGTCACAACCTATATAAGTTGTCCTAAGAAGAAAGATCAAGATAGAAAAATCAAACAAGATTGGGGGTGATACATGTACATCATCGCTAAACTCTATCAACTTAATCCGTGGGAAAACACAGCATCGATCAGCTTGACCACTTCTAGTTTATAGACTGACCCCTCGTTAGGACGAGGGTTAAAACAATGTTTACTCGAACAACTCACTTCCACTGGGAGACTCACTCTTAAAACAAAAGCATTTTCTAATAACAGCTATGTTTCTTGGAGTTGTCAAGTGAACAGTATTTGACTAGGATTATGAGTGGTCTAAATATTGGCAGACATTGAGAGAAGTTAAACAGTATGGAGTACGATGGTATCAATAATGGTGATGAAGTCGGGTGTTATGGAAGGTGTTTAATTAAAGACGTTTCTACCATCGAGCCAGACAGGCGGAATATTCTAATTTTCTATTGTAAATCCACTTCGAACACCATGTTTGTTTACTTATAACAAATTAGAAATCTATGAGTGGCGAGTAGCCTGTCCCAGATTCCAATCATGAAGTTACTAGTTTCAGGAACGTAGCGAGGGGGGGGGCAGCCCAACCAATGTCACTCGGCTTTATGGGGCGCCCATACGGATATGGGCACGTTGGTCGTTCGCTTCGTATTGGTTCCAATGGAAAGGATGGTTCGGCAACTGCCCCCCTTGCTTCCCCCCCACCCTCCTCTATCTATGGGCCTGAGTTTCGTCGAGTTCAAACTCATCAGGCTTAAGTGAGATTGTTCGTTTGTTCCTTGAGTTTTATGTCCACTTCCACCAAAGGTGATATCATAGACAGTGAGATTGTGTGGATGTTCCCTTTATATAGTAGCTGGGGACTGGAGCACAAAAAAAAGTCTTGGGTGGACTGGCGCACCGGAGCAACTGCTTCCGTTATTGGTGAACAGAAAGACATCTAAAAATTGTCGTTATAAAAATGCTTATTTGCATAGACTCTAAAACTCCCATCCCATTTGACTAAGTCGTTTAAAAAAATATAAGTAAACATATGGGAACTATAAAGGATCAACCCACTTTATGTTGTGTTGAATTGATTAACTGAAAAACTGCACCAGCATTCTGTATTATACTGTCTCCTACTAGTCACTGTATATATAGGTTGCCAGGCAACAAAACATATGCCCACCAGCAACCAATTGGGTTGAATCCTGGGCTTTCACTTCAAAATTTTCACTAGGCCTACCGGTAATATCTGATAACGCACGAAAACTTTGCAAAGTAAATTCATATTTCATGTTTTTTATTCATTGTGTATTTGTGTCTATACCTCATTGTCAGCATGGGGTACAAAAATAAAATCATATATTGGACTTTCAAATGAAATATTAGTAAGGCTTATGATAATTATTTATTAATTAAATATTCTCTTTTGGCTACTTATTACTTAAATACTTGGATCATTATTGAAGCCTCTGAGGTGCTGACAAGATTTCCTGTCAATGAGGAAGTTATCATCAAAAATTGATGAAAATCAATAAGCTTATCCTTTTAATAGGATAGACAACCAATATAGTTAATAATTACGAAATATATGGTGCTAATAAGGTTTTTGTAACAAAAATAAAACAAGATGATTTGGTCAACAACCTCCAGAGGCCTTACACAAAAAGCAAGCCAATTATTCTACAAAGAAATGTAAATGGCACTGAAGGAAGACTAACAATAAACGCCACCACTGCAAAAAAGTATCTTTATTCTGCATTTTTGTCAATTTATGAGATTAAATAGATAGAACTCAATGACCTATCGCTTGTGGAATACTTGCGCAGGGATACACTCTCTTGAACCATTGAATAACCCGAGCGGTATTCAATGGTCATTGACTTTGAGTTCTGTTTTTTTTTCTATAACTTATTAACTAGGCCTATATGCAAATCTCAAAATACACTGTACTATCTAAATTTATCATAAAAAATCATTACCACTAACGTTAAAATTCATCAAAGGTTCCGCCCTTTTTTCTTTCTTTTTTCTTTCTTTTTTACAAAAATTGTGGTTGCCTAGTTGTGACGTCATTACAGTTTGACGTAGTTCTGTAAGTGACGTCATTCTGGACAAAAGTGGTACGTTTTCAAGCCATTGAATACAACTATAGGTTATTCAATGGCCATTGAATACAACTATAGGTTATTCAATGGCCGTATTCAATGGTATTTGCTTGTATTATTTGCATGTAGTTATAGAATAAATTCGCATTTTCTTACGTTAATTGACCAGTCAAATGACTAGCAATACCTGGAATTGTCGCCTACCTTTAAATGTTGGCTGAAAACTATTTATAGTCTCACTTGAACTTGCCGCGAGAACTTTTTAATGATGGATTTTTAGACCAGTTATGCTTAGATATAAATATTCACCTGGTATCACGTGTTGTCAACAATCTTCAGCACTTCCTGTCAATGTGACTTTCATCTGACTTCACTCCTGAAATTTCACTCTTCGGGCACGTGATTCTCGTTAGCGCGGGAAAAGGGGGAATTAGCCGTCCGTCTGCTCGTTGGGGATTAGAAATCGCAATTTCACAATAAACAGTTCTTTATTTAGCATTTTTTATTTATTTTATATTTCCTTCCCATGTTCGATTGTCAGCTCCCAGAACGTTCCGATTGTCCGAATTGCAGTCGATGATAGTTACTGTTATGCCAGATACGAAAACAGATTTCATAGAATCGTGATGTAATCAAAATTTCAATACTTTTGTTTTCGAATGTGTTATGCCAAATTCTCGATTGACGCGTTTCGAACGATTACGATAATTCAATTCCGGATCTTTCATATAGATTTATTTGAGGAAACGCAAATTTAAAGAAAAATTATTATATTTGATGACAAGAGAAATATGTACAAATTTTGATAAATAAAATTAACATGATTAATAATTTTTGAGTAACATCAATATTTTGATTAGCAATCAAACTCAAAATGAAATGAAATGAGGTTTAACATCCTACTTTTTTGTATGAACCAGAAATGAAGACTGTCATACGCCATGCAGTGTGCTGTGGACGAAATTTTTCTGAACAGCGGTACTCCGACCTACTCTGATTTTCGAATTCGACCTGTCAAGGTGGCTTCTTTTAAGTACATGTGACATCGGTTTTTTTTGTCCCATCTGAACGACTAGACACTGCTTTGTTAGGCCCTAGTGTTTTGATTGTTGAGCCAGTGCCCTACTCACTGAACCACCACAATCAAACTCAAAGTGTGTAAATACAAGATGACTCGGTCATCAACCTCCAGAAATAAACCTTAGTAATAATAGACATTTTACACCACGTACAATTTCCCGAATATAATATTTTGAATGCAGCTTTTAACCAAGTCTTAGTGTTTGATTGTCAGTAATAATAGGCTAACCCCCTTTCTAGAAAATCAACATAAAATGTACACATTCTAACGTATCGGTTTTAAACCTACACTTTCACTGAACCTAGAATTATTTAGTGATAATATATCATCTTTATACATCGGAATGAAATTGAACAGTTTTTTATTTATTTTGCAAGTTAAATTATTGAATTGTTTCAATGGCATTTAGTAATTGAACATGGCATACACTGGTCACATTTCTATTGAATACAATTACTGCTTATTATTGAGCCACGTTTCGGCTAGGCTTTTCTGCAATAAGCAGTAATTGTATTTCATAGAATTGTGACCTGTGTCTGTAAGTCTATTGTTTCTTAGAACCATTAAGTTTGCAAGGGTGCCCCTCACCCCTGACTGAAAATGTAACCGGGGCCTTCGCATCAATAGTAAAAAGGGGGCATATTCTGGTCATTGTTTGTCACATTCACACAAATGCAATTTTTATGTCAGAATGGTAGATATGTATTTATTTGGCACAATCTTTGGCACAAATTTTATTTTAGAACTAATTTGCAGACCCCTTTATTATAAGGGCCTGGACGAAACGTGTTTGGGGACGAACTAGGTAGACATTTTGTGTTTGGGGTACGAACTGGTGACAGTTGGAATGCGCTGTGTTCTGATTGGTTGTTTGTGTGCATGCTTGATTTGTTATACACTTGAATAAAATCAGATCATCCATCGAAGTCGTTGTTGTTGGTTGTTTCTCTCTCTCAGACTGCCAATCGCATCGAATGTATTTGTTCATCGCATTACAGGCCATGATATGGTGAACAATAGAATTTTTTTATGGGCCCAGCATTTGCATCGTCACCATTTTTGGTAGCAGAGCGTGGTTGCTGCGGTTATTCGTAATTATGGTTTTTTGGTGTATTGTTATGAACACTTACGGGAGAGAAAGCTGCACGTGCATTCCATCACCACGTCAACAACAACCGACAGTCATCGTCAACAGCCAGGATCATTTTGGTATTTTTAATAATAATATGCTTTCAACTAACTTTTAATCTGGTAATTGTAAAACAATTTTCCAAGTAACAATGTCTGAAGCAGCAGTCGATGTGGCAGCGATCCCGCTGCCAGACGATGTTGAGTCTGATCGGCTATCTGATTTACTTAAACAGAAACGCTTAGCAAAATCTCAGTTTACTAAAGCCAAATCTCATCTTACTAGTATTATTTGTTCTGCTCCAGAAAGTACAGAGCCATTGAAATTTAGTATTGATAATGTGTTAAGATTAGAGACCGAAGTTATCAATATACTATTGCCGTTGTGTGATGTGGACGCTGAACGCTTTGAAGCAGAATTAGACGCAGTGCAAGATGACATTAAGTTATCGGAACTTTTGTTGAGAGCTTCGGACTCATTTAAAGTGCGGTCAAACGTGATAAACAATTCAAGTAGACAAACATCGTCGACAGACCAAGGGTCCGCTGAGCGGTACAACGTGTATCCATACCAAAATTTAGAGGCAACAAACGAGATTACCCCCTATTTAAAGATGCATTCGAACAATGTATAGATAAAGTAAATTGTAGTGACGGTTACAAGATTTTGCAACTCCGACAGTACTTGGAGGGTGAAGCCCTTCACGCTATTGAAGGCTTTTCAGCCACTTAACATGGGTATTCCGCTGCAAAAAATAGACTCGAAGAGAAGTTCGGCGGTCATCGTCGTGCTGTGTTACTCCACCTTGATAGTGTTCGTCAAATGAAACCCATTAATTTTCATGATTTAAAACAGTTAGAGGAATTTACTGATAAACTAGAACTTTCTATAATATCTCTTAAA